TTTTATCTCCCTGCAAATGCAGCCTGGTTATTTTTACTCCTGTATTGTCAGGCGAGCACAAAGGCAGAACGAGGGACTGCAGCCCCGGGAGGCAGCACAGCTCCTGGAGCCTGCTCTGCCAAGAGTGCAGGATCAAAATCTTTGCTTTCCACCTTCCCAGGCTGGCCCATCCGAACCTCTGGCTCAGCTCTGGTCCAGGCTCTCCTCACTGGACTGCCTGGGAGCAGGGAACCAGGGCAAGGACGTTGGGGTCGGCCCTTGATACCCCTTTGCCTTCTTCTCCATGGGCTTGGTTAGTTTATCCAACCACACTAGCTGCTTCCCATTGAACACCAAAAGTCATGAATTTGCTTTTCTGGTTATAGGCAATGGAAATGCAATGGGTTTGTTGGAGGGGCTGATTCTGGATGGGCTCTGCCCAGCACTAAACCCCTGGGTCCTGCTTCCAGAGCATGCTCACCTCAATGCCAGAGCTTTGTTCATGGCTGAGGCAGATGAAAAATCACTCTGTACAGAGAGGCTGCTGGGTTTCCTCCACATCATTTTACCCAGGCTGACCCCAAAGAGTCCATGGGCAGCACGGTGACCACCACTCAGAGCACAGCTCCATCCCAACAGCAGCACCATGAACTTTCTGAGATGGGAATGGGCCCGGTGGGAGCAGCACAACCCAATGGCTGTGTCACGGGAATTTCTCTGCCAGGTTCAAGGAAGAGCCATGTAGTTGCTGGCATCCTAAGTGGTTTCTGCCCTCCTGGCTGGCACTGGCACTGCTCGCAGAAGACCCCCACACCTCCTCCCAGCCAGCTCATGGCTGGTCCCCTCTGCAGCCCAGCTCTGCTCTGTCCCAGGCACCAGGCCACCTCACCCCCTGGGGAAGCAGGTGGGCCTCAGTGCAGACATGGGGGACACCTCTTGGCTGCCCAGTCCTGTGGTCATGTCCTGGGAGCACAGAAATGCCAACTGATCCCACCAAGGTGACTCCGGAGTGAAGCCTGGGAGCTTTGTGAGGTGGAGGAGGACTCCAGAGCTTCCCCCTGGGGTGGGAGCCCTGCTGGAGGGGATGGCTGAGCTCAGAGACGGGTCGGTAATGCCTTCAGTGACTGCACAGTGTAATGTAAGGGCTTTGCATGGTGCTGGTCTTCCCATTAATTAAAATGGAGAGGAGGCTGTGGCCTGGTGCCCAAGGCGTGTTGCTTTGTCACTAACAAGGTGACCTTGAGCCCACCAGGATGAAGCAGGCTGCAAGCCCCCATCTCCAAATACCACATGGTCACTCCCCCACTATGGTGGCCTGAAATCCATTTCTTCATCCACCAGGACGTGAGAGCAGCTGCTGCAGAGCTGGACTCCACAGATGTGTCTCCTCCATCTCCCCTGGGGGGAGACCATCGGGGGTCCTGAGCCCCCACCTGGCCGTGGCGCCGCAGAGGCCTTCAACCTCACCAAGACGGCAGGGCTGCAGCGTCTGGGAGAGCAACAGGCGGCGGTGGGCCACAGGTTCCTCTGAGGTCGGCCCGGTGGTCTTCTGCCTCCCCGTCCCGAGCTCGGAGTCGGGTTTCCACCCACGCCCTGGAGGGGCCCGAGGCCCGAGGCGGGTGCGGTGCCAAGTACCTTTGCCACGGGCAGTGGGACGAGCGCTCGTGCTGGCCCTACCAGCTGGCCCGGCCTCGCACATTCTTCTCAGGGCACGTACCCACCCCGCGCTCTGCTCACCCCCTCCCTGCCTTATCTTTAAAGCGATTTTATTTTCGGAGATTCCTTCTGCAGTTCCTTCTGCTCGCCCTAGTTTCCCTCCCTCTTTGAAGATGTTCCAGCAGGGTCCATCAAAGGCCGAGCAGCTCTGTAGAAAGGGAGATGTGGAATGGTCACTCCAGCAGCTGCTGACACGCACTTCCTTTGGGTGCGGGTGATTTCGGAGCCTTTGTGATGTGGTTTTCAGGGTGGTAGGATGCTCATCCTGCCATTCCCGGCCAGGCCTGAGCTGTGCCTTTCAGACAGGTGCAGTGCAGCACCCTCAGCGGGGCAGCGGCTGGGGAGGGCTCCATGAACCTCCCACAGAACCCCACGGGCACGACGAGGAGCCCAAAGCTTTAGCTGGAGCAGAGAGGACTTGCTTTAGGTGGCTATCACCTGGTGCCAGGCCTGCTCAGACATCCCACCAGCTCTCCACAACCACCCTCAGCACTGTGAGCATCTCCCCTGCCATTGAGGCACCCCGTTTTTCCCCCTACAGCTCTACGCTTGACGTATCGGCATCCCGTGAGGTGGCAGATGAGGATGGGGCTCTTTGGCCATGCCTTTGAGGGCTGGACAAGCCTCTCCCCATGGGCCAGGACGCCACCAGCACCCAACTGTTTGGGTGTTTTGCACTCAGAGCAGCTCCTCGTCAGTCCCAGAGAGCCAGGGGGTGCCAGGGGCTCGGCCGCCCCCCTGTGACCTCCCTGCTGCTCCCCGACCCCGCGGGAGGAATGCTCCCCATTAGCAGGCTCTGATAAGTGGCAGGAAGGAGAATTACTCTCCGAGCCGGGCCATTTGCTAGAGGTTTCTTTCCACACTTAACATATCACCGCTATCAGCTCCCTGAAATGCACTGGAGGGGAGTGCGAAGGCGCCTGATTAGATAAAGACAATCTGCAGAGGGGCTATTTCAGGCATATTTCCATGCAGCAGGAATGTCTGCGTTCAGGCAGGGGTGACAGCACAGCACTGCCACCCGCCAGTGTCCCTCGGGCTCAGCCTGCACCCCGAGCCTGTGGCTGCGAGGTTCCCTCCAAAGCAGACCCCTAAACCCTGGCTGTGCTCTCTGCAAAGCACTTTTTCACCAAAAAAGCCTTCAGGAATAGTGCTGCTGCTTGCTGTAGTGTGAGGCTTGGGCAGCATGAGCACACCGGAGCCTCTGGGCACTGTGCTCCCACAGTGAGTGAAAGAAATGAATGTACAAAACGCATCCAAAATGAGGATTGGGATTGGGAATGTACCTGGAAGAGGCATGACATGAGAAATCGGGGGCTGGAGTTAGTAAGCAACGTGCTGGGAAGGTCCCACTCGGGCAAAGAGACAGCAAGGTCACCTGGAGATGGGGAAAACTGGGGAGTTTTTATTTGTTTGCATTTCATTTCCCAGCGTTGAGGTTTTAGGGACGTTCTTCTCCAGAGGGATGGCCACTGGAAAGACCCAGTATCTGTTTAGGAACAGAGGTTGTAACAAACACTGCAAAAATTACAGGAATGTGTGAGCCGACTTCAGTGAAGACGCTTGAGGTTTTGGCAGTGCATTACAAAAAGAGATGAGAGAAAAGGGCCTCTCGCCCCCCTCGTTTGAACACTTAATGGCACCTCAATTGCAGCTGGCTTGCCGGGACAGGCCCTGGCACACAGCAGCCTTTGGAAAAGAAGCCCAAGAGCTGCCCTGGTCTTAGGTGTTTCCAAGGTGTTTTCTCCCGCTTGATCAACCTCAGCTCAGCTCATGACAGGGGACAGCAGTTCAAGACGGAGAGGCAGCAAACGTGGGATTTTCCCATGGGACCTGGTAGGCTTGGGCCTGGCCGCCACCTCGGAGGGAGCAGCACTGCTGTGTGTCCCCACGCTGTGCCAGGACCTCCCCACGTCGCTGTGGCCCATCAGGCGGTCACAGCAAGGAGGTGGCTCGCTGCTGGCTGCCCTGCCCAGGTGAGGGCAGCAGGAGATGGTGGCCACCACCCCAGGACTTCTGTTTTGGCCGTGGATTCCAGGTTTCCAGTCACCAGCCTTGTGGGCTGCTCCCTGCAGGCTGAGCCGAGCAGAAGTGGGTGAGCGTCCATGGCAGGGGAGCAGGGCACAGTGTCCCCACACGTGTCCCCATCCAGGAGCTCGGGCATCGCTCCGGGAAGCAAAAGCACACCCAAACTTGGGTGGAAACCCCCAATTTGGTTTTCCACCCGCTGGTCCCGCTGGCTCCCTCGCAGCCCGGCTCGGTGCTATTTATACCTCGCTCCACGGCGCAGAAAGGCCTGGTGGAAAAGCTAAGGAAGTGAAATTACTTTGGGGAAGAAATGACACTACCCGTTTATAAATAACCCGCGTTTCATTGATCCTGTGGATGCTGCCTTGGCAGAGAGTCCAATGTCACCGCTCCAGTCATGCAGACAATAGGCGGGCATTGTTTTATTCTCAGTTACAGCCAAAAGGACAGCACCAGCTGCCTGGCTATCTTTAGCCCATGAGAGCACCCTCCAATTGTTCTGCACCTCAGACAATAGGCACACGTGGGGGGGGGTTTAGGATTGCTGGCCTTAGCGGAGCATTTCGCATCGAGAGGCGGCCTGGGGGACAACAGATTGCTTTCATACCCTCGCCGAAGCTGGCACCCATAGGGCAGGGCAGCCGGGCTGCGGGAGCGGAGCCGCGTTTCTCTGCAGGACGGGGCCGAGGGGCTGTGCTCCGGGGGAGCCCCCCGAGCTGTGCCCGCAGCAGGAGCCCCACTGCGCTGCCTTCATGTGGCTGCTGCCGCACTGCTCCCCCTGCTCCTGCGGCCAGGACAAATGACACAGCGCCAGGCACCGCAGCTGCACAGCACAACGTTCACTTTTGGTGTTTTGGGGTGTTTTGGGGTGTTTTTTGGTGTTTTTTGATGGTTTTTTTTCCACTTTTCTTTTCCACGGGGTACCAGGGGAACCAAGTGCAGAGGACAAGCGATGCTCTGCACACACAGCCGGGCAGCCAAGCACCCTTAATTAATTAATTAATTAAGCTGATTAACGGCGTTAATTAAGGCAGGGCCCCCCCTTTTTCCTACCCCCCCCCCCCCCCGGTGCCTCCGCCCCCGCCGGCCTCCAGCCCGGCCCGGAGTGACGTCACGCCGTGACGTCACGCGGCCGTGACGCCAGCCCCGCTCCCTCCCCCCGCCCCCCGGGTCCAGCGCGCACGCACGCCCCAAGCCCCGCCCCTCTCCCCTGCCGGCTGCCAATCAGCGGGGCGGGAAGCGGGGCGCGGCCAATCAGCGTGGGGAGGGGGCGGGGCGGGCAGGGAGCACTGGGAGCAGGTACGGGACGGGCGGGGCTGTGGCGGGAGGGGGCTCGGGGGGCTATGGGGGCTATAGGGGATAGGGGGGGCATGGGGGATATAGGGGATATGGGGTGCGGGGGGCAGGGGGACCAGCAGGGACCATCAGGGACTACGGGATCACGGGACCACGGGGTCTGGGGGGGCTGCAGGGGACTGGGGGGGCTGTGGGGTGCAGGGGGGGCACGGTGGGGTTATGGGGTCCTGTGGTCGCTATGGGGGCTGGGTGGGATACAGAGGGCGGGGGGCTATGGGGGGCGGGGGGATATAGGGACTGTGGGGTCCAGGAGGGCTGTGGGGGACGGGGTGGGATATGGGGTGCAGGGGGGTGTGGGGTACAGGGGGGTATAGGGGCTGTGGGGCCATGGGGGGCAGGGGGCTATAGGGGGCTATAGGGGGCTGGGTGCGCTGTGGGGTACAGGGCTCTGTGGGGTGCGGGGGGGCTGTGGGGTTTGTGGGGCCCTGGGGTCTGGGGGGGATACAGCGTACTGGATAGGACTATGGGGTGCGGGGGGCTATGGGGTGCAGGGGGGCTATAGGGGACTGTGGGGCTATAGAGGGCAGGGGGGCTGTGGGATGGGGCCAGAGGTCTCTAGGGGGCTGGGTTTGGGGCTGTGGGGTGCCAGGTCTCCGTGGGGCACGGGGCAGGGCAGGCATTGCCGCTCCTCACCCCCCCTGTGCTGGGACCCTGGTTTTGGGGCCACTGGCCGTGCCCCCGTTGGCTCTGTGGGGTGACGCGGCGGTGCCCCAGGCATGGCGGGGCTGTGGGACGCGGCGCTGCGGGGCGAGGCGGCCGTGCGCCGGGCGGCCCTGGCGGCGGTGGACGCGGCGCTGCTGGAGGGCGTGCTGATGCGCACCGAGGCCGAGCCCAACGCCTCCGACGTAAGCCCGGCCGCCCCACGGCCTCCCCAAAACCCCACGGGGTGGGTCTGGGGGCTCAATGGTGTCGGGGTGGCGCTGCCTCCTGCTCCCCGCCTGCAGGTGGTGAGCTTCGCGCCCTTCACGCTGCTGCCCTCGGCCGTGCCCAGCGCCCTGTTCCGGCAGGCGTACGCCGTGCAGCAGGACTTCAACCTGCTGGTGGACGCCATCAGCCAGGACAGGGAGTTCCTGGAGCGCGCTCTGGCCAGGTAACGCTTGGGGCTTCACCGAGTTTAATTATGGGGGACGTTAATTGGGAAGCGTTTGTTGTCCTCCGGGTATCCCCGCCTGCCGTCCTTGGAGCTGAGGGGTGCAGTGTGCACTCCCCTGGGCAGGCACCTCTCCGTTCTGCTTTGTGTGTCCTCACATAACGCCAGCAGCCTTGGGGTCTCCTTGGGCCGGCAGTTTTTTTGGGGTCTCCTTGGGCCAGCAGTTCATTTCCCTTTGCCAGTGTCTGAGCCTCGTGGCTTCTCGCTCGGCAGTGTGCTGGCACCAGGGCTTTGAATCCTGGAGGCTTCTTTGAGTCCCGCACTGAGGAGCCTGCCCTGGCCTCATTTTGCACCCCCCCCCCCGGCTGCCCGATCCCCACGGAGCTCTCGGCACCGCAGGGTGTGGGGTTTGGGGCCCGGCAGGGTGATCCTGTGGTCTGGCACCTCTCCCATAGCCCGGCAGGGCGCCTGCTGGGCTGATTCTCTCCTTCCCCTGGCGAGGGGCTGACGGGGTCCTGCTGTTCCCCCAGCACGGTCAAGGTGGATGACTTCACGGCGCGGCTCTTCAGGATCCATCTGCAGGTTCTGGAGGAGGGACTGGCGCAGGTAGCGCGGGGACCCGGGGCCGCTCGGGACCCGCAGGGCACCGGGGCCGCGCCTGCTGCGGGCTCCACGTGGCCCCGGCTCGCCTCGTGCGGGTGCTGCTCGGCACCAGGGCGGCCAGATCCGTCCCAGGAGTGCGGTGAGAGGCAGCAGGAGAAGCGGGGGTGGGCGCGGGTCCCGCTTCACCCCCCTCCTCCCGCCTCAGTCCGTGTTTTTAGGCATAAACCGCTCGGATTACATGTTCGACTGCGGGGCGCCCGGGGCGCCGGCGCTGAAGCAGATCGAGATAAACACCATCGCCGCCAGCTTCGGCGGCCTGGCCTCCCGCACCGCCGCCGTGCACGGGTGAGGAGCGGCCGCAGCCCCGCACCCCGACCCGGCCCCGTGGGGCTGCCCCGCGGCCAGGCCCTGGGAGCCGCTCTCGTTCCTTAGGCGGGTGCTGAAGGAGCTGGGGATGGCCGAGGAGGCGTCGCGGCTGCTGCCCAACAACCCCTCCGAGGGGCTGGCCTCGGGCATCGCCAAGGCCTGGGAGCTGTACGGCTCGCGGAGGTGAGGAGCCTGCCCCGGACAGCCGCACGGGGCCGTCCTGCTCCCTGTGCCAGCACACGGGAAGGCTGGAGGAGGCTCGCGGGAGCCGTGCGGGATCGCCGAGATCAGGGGGTGGTGGTCCCGGGGGCTCGGGGTGTAACGGTGTTCTGGGTGTCTCCTGTAGCGCTGTGGTGATGTTCCTGGTGGAGGAGGTGCAAAGGAACATCTTTGATCAGCGATGTGTGGAGAACGAGCTTTGGAACAGGTAAAGCAGAGCCCGTCTGCTTCCTACACGGTCACCTACGCGAGGGTGAAGCCGAACACGTCGCGGTTTCTGAGGCTGTGAGGGGCCTTGGTGGGTAGGGGGGCAGCCGTCACCTTGGGCTTCCCTCCGGGGTCTCTTCAGCCTTCCTTTGCTGGCCCCCTGCAAAGGGCTGGAAAAAGGGGGGGTGAGGAGCTCGAGCCCCGAGGCGGAGCTGGGGAGATCCCCGGCCCTGCCAGCTGTGGGGTCTGCGGGGCCACAGTGCCGCTGTGTGGAGAAGGGCGATAAGGGGTGGTCCCAGGGAGCACAACGCCGGCTGCTGCTGGCTGGGAAGCTGGCCATGAGCGGCTCTGTCCTGCAGGGATAGAAAATCAGGCTCCTGGCTGCCAGCAGAAATGCTTCAGGAGGTGGAAGGCGAAGGCGGGCATTTCGGCACACGCCTGGGGACGCGGGTGGGTGCGGGCAGCAGGCGCTGCTGTGACCTGCCTGCTCCATGGAGGGTGTGCTGAGGTGTTGGGGAAGGAGCAGCAGCTCCGTGCTGCTTCCAGCTGAGGTTTCCTCCCCGCGTGCCTCTGTGCCCAGCCTGCTGTGTGACCATCCCGCTCCTCTTTTAGGAACATTCGGGTCATCAGGAAGCGCTTCCGAGACGTGTTTGAGAAGGGCTCCCTGGACGAAGCCAGGAGGCTGTACATGTGAGTACGAGCTGTGTGTGCACTTAGGGTTGTGCCTGGCAGTGTTGGTGACAGTTCTGGGTGTAAATAGTGGCATTGTGAGATGTGCTGCTGCTCCAGGCTGCTGCCGCTAATTCCCCTTAGAGCTGATATGATTTTGTTTTCGCTGTGCTAGGATTTTGCACACACCCATCAGTCCCTTACAGCTGGAAACCCCATTTCCCTCCTCCAAACCACAGCCTCCTGAGCTCCGCGTGCTCCCCTCTCCCCCACGTACACATGCAGGGAGAAACCCTGGCTCTTGCAGAGGTTTCCACCGAGATGCTTCCTGCTGAGCCTCCACGTGATGCCCTGTGGGCGGCAGGGCTGGGTTACCCGTGCAGAGGAAGTGAAGTCCCGCGAGTCCTTGCGGCCTCCCTTGGCTCTGAGCGCCCTCAGGGTCTCGCCCGTGCCCGTGGCTGATCCCAGGCTCGTCGCTCGTCCCGTTCCCAGGCTGTTGTGCTTGGAGCCGCACGAGGCGCATTGGTTGCCTGCCCATGTTTTTCCTCTTGTTAGCTGATTTTTTAATTTTATTTTTCCATGCTCTGACCTTTGGCACCTCTGCCATGTTTAACTACTGAGCGTTTGTCATCGCCAGACAGTTAAGGGGAAAATATCTGCAGACGCTTCCTGCAGAGCATCCTGCCTGGCTGTGGAGGCGGTTACGGCGTGCTGCCTGCCCACGGCAGTGTCCGTGCTGCCTTCCCTGCCCGTGCTCCGCTGCTGCGGCTCGGTGCGTGGCACCGCGGCTGCTCTGGGGCAGGTTGCTGTGTCCTGCCTGGAATCACCAGCCAGGAAGGATCCCCTTCCTCCCCAGCTGCAGGAATGCAAGGCTACTAAAAAATGAGGTTCTTGCCTCCCTCCTGGGTTGGCTGCCTGAGTTACCGGGACGTTGGTTAGGGCAGAGGCCCGGCGCCAGCTCCCCGTGCCTCAGGCGCTCTCGAGGAGGAGCAGAGCAGCTCGGGAGGCCAAGCAGAAGGGGCGAACGCCGTCTGAGCCCTGGCAGCCCCCTTGGTGGCTGCTGGCTCTGATGGCTGCTGCTTTCTGTTCCAGGGATGGCCAGGAGGTAGCAGTGGTGTACTACAGAGAGGGCTACGTGCCGACAAACTACAATCAGCAGGTCAGCACCCACTGCTCGCTCCCAGAAGCTCTGTGGCAGTGCCAGAGGGTTTGAAACACCCTGTGGTCCTGTCCCGGGTGGGTCAGGCCCATCCAAGCGGCTTTGGGAAGCTGACACATCTTTGCTGCTCGTGCAGTGCTCCTGTAATAAGAAAAAGGAGTGGGTTTCTCCAGTCACCACTCGTGTGGTCACCCCCTGTCTGCAGCACCGAGCTGTGGCTGTGTGATACGGGTTAACATTGATTAGTGCCTGCTTAAAGCATTTAGGCTTGAACTACAAATAATTTTCTGCCCTAAACTATGCACTAGGACTGTTGGCTGCAGGTGGTAATGACACAGGGCAGATGGTGCTGTTGGCTGAAAATGCTGGGGAGGGGGGTGCAGGGGAAGGCAACGGGGCAGCCTGGCTGTGCTGCTCCCCGGGGCAGTGGCAGAACCACGTGTGCCTCTCTCTCCATGCCATTCCCGTCCCTGCCTGTCAAAAAATGAAGAGGAAGGAGAGAGAACCTGGCTGTGATGGGCCGGTCGCTCTCCCTCTCTCGCAGAACTGGGAGGCGCGGTTGCTGCTGGAGAGGTCGAGGGCAGTGAAGTGCCCCGACATCGCCACCCAGCTGGCCGGCACCAAGAAGGTGCAGCAGGAGCTGAGCCGCCCGGGGACCCTGGAGAAGCTGCTGCCCGGCCGCACCGAGGCCATTGCTCGCATCCGAGCCACGTTCGCCGGGCTCTACTCGCTGGATGTGGTGAGTGGGGTGGGAGTGAGGGTGCGGGCGCGCTCTTGGCATGTGTGGTGCTCCTCCTTGGTTAGAAACACGAGGGGGCCTCGCTGTGGCCTCCGGACCCTGGTTATCCTGCTCACAGCAGCCCATCAAGGGGCTCCTGCTCCTCCCTGATGCGTTGCTGTTGCTTTCTTTCCTGCCAGGGTGAGGAGGGTGACAAGATAGCTGCTACGGCTATCGCCAACCCCGACCAGTTCGTGCTGAAGCCGCAGCGGGAAGGCGGAGGTAGGAGCTGCAGGGGGGTCTCGGTGTGGCTCAGGGCTCAGGCCTGGAGCTGCTTTGGCCACGGGGACAGGTCATGGTGCTGAGGGAGCTCCAGGTCCCAGAGCTGGGGGAATCACGGGCAGCGCTGCATCTGCTCGGGCTGCTGGGGCAAACGGTTTCTGCGCTGGGAAGATCCTGACCTGCCCATCCTGTGCTCAGGGAACAACCTCTACGGCGAGGAGCTCAGGCAGGTGCTGGAGAAGATCAAAGACAGCCCTGAGAGAACCTCCTACATCCTGATGGATAAGATCCAGCCCCAGCCAACAAGGAATTACTTGCTGAGGGCCCACAGTCCCCTAAAAGCATCCGAGTGCGTCTCAGAGCTTGGGATCTTTGGCGTTTATGTCAGGTGAGTTTATGTCAGCGCCCCAGCCAGGAACAGGAACAGGGCTCAAACTGTCCCGGGTGGTGGAAAGGCCGCGGGCTTTCTGCTCCAGTGCTGCCCAGCTGCCCTTCTCTCTGCAGGCAGGGCAAGGAGCTGGTGATGAACGAGGCAGCCGGCCACCTCCTGCGGACGAAGGCCGTGGAGCACGCGGACGGCGGGGTGGCGGCCGGGGTGGCCGTGCTGGACACCCCCTACCTGGTGTGAGCGCCCCGCTGCTGCGCTGCCCGCGGGGCCGAGCTGCTTTCCTCGGGGTGCACTCACCAGGGGACGGGCTGGGGTCGGCCCTGGGCTGTGCAGGGGGTTGGGGTGTCCCCTCAGGGTCTGTGCAGGGCCGGAGCGTGGCCCTGCCCTGCCCTGCCCCAAATTTGTGCTGGCCCCGGGTTCCTGCTGCACTGTTTGCAGGCACCGAAACCCAAAGCCCAGGGAAGGGGAGGAGGAAGGTGGAGGAGCCAGGAGCAGCTTCAGCTGTGGGACTCGAGGCCCCTTGTGCCTCCCCTCCCACTGCCCTGCTGCTTGCCACGGCAAAGGCTGAGACCAGCTCTGCCTGTCTCTGGCCCCTCCAGCCCCAGCTCAGGTGCTGCTGCTCTGATTTCCACCTTCCCCGGTGTCTGAGCAGCCTCATGGCTCCTACACAGCCCCAGCTGCCCTGGTTTAACTCTGCCAAGCTTCTATCATGGCCAGCACGTTCGCTTGGCTTCACTGTGGGACCATCCCCGGCGGTGGGACGCCTCCCTCCCTCCGGGTTTCCTGACTCAATGGGAACAGTGTGGGTGCTCCGGCCCCCGAGCTTGTGCTGCTCCCCCCAGCACACCCCTCTGCCCCCCAGCCCTTCCTCAGCCGAGGAGGGGCCCTGGTAAAGCAGCCCGAGCTCTGCTGTGGCGGTGGCAGCAGGAAAGCCGCTGCTCCTGAGGAATCACCTCACGGGCTGCTCGGCCACCCCGCCGCCGGGGTGCTCAACCCAGTCACTAACCGGGCACTGCAGTGGTTCAGGGCTGTGGCTGATTCCACAACTCCCACGCTGGGGTTCATGATGGGGGGGTTGATTACCCCCAAACGGAGATTAAAACCTACGTTCAATCTGAGCACCGGCCTGGGGGCAGTTCTGTCCGGCAGGAGCCATGGGAAGGGGGTGCCCAGAGCACTGCCGTGAGGGGCCCTTTGTGTCCTTGGGGTTACAGCTCCAGCACTCTGTCACTGCCAGCTGTGGTGTAGTGCCCTGACACGGCACGGCTGTGAGCTGTGGGGCATGGGCACAGCTGCCCCTGGCTGTGTGGGCACCCTGAGGCTCCAGGTGAAGCTGTTGAGGGTGCTGGGCCCTGCTCAGACCCCCCACACCTCACAGCGATTCCAGTCAGATGGTCGAACTTGCTGCTGGGACTCTGGGGAGCTGATTCTGCTGGACATGACCCCTGCAAAGTCCAGTTTGATCCAAAAAGCCCTACCGGCAGCTGCGAGCTCGCTGGAGCCCCTCAGCATCTCATTATCCTGTTCTCCCACCTGGCAGGAGCCGAGCTCAGCCTTTAAGCAGCTCCTGGGCCAGGCCTGGTTTTGGGGCAGCTGCACAGCTGTGCACAGACCTTACACAAACCTTTGTTGTAGGGGCAGGTTTTATTCTGCTCAATGCCCGTCTGCACAGCTCTGTGCTGGGGATGGGTCCTGGCACCCAGCTCTGCAGCTCCAGCCCAGCACAAGCAGCTGCTGGCATGGGGTGAATGCTCTCCAGGAGAAAACAGCTTGCCCTGAGTCTGTAGGCATGCAGTTTGTGCACTGCTCCAGGAGCAGGAGGGTAACAGCAGCTGGGAGAGGCAGGATGCAAGCACTGGAGCTTCCCTGGGAAGCTGAAGGTGAGGCTGGGGAGCAGTGGGTGCAGAGGCTGGTGCCCAGGTGAAGCCTCAGGGTGCTCTCAGCAGCCCCACAGCCCCCAGCTGCTCGCAGCTTTCTCCCTGGCATTGCTCCTGCCCCCAGCCTGCACGCAGTGGCTGCTGCCAGGCAGGGGGCTCAGCCTCCTGCTTCCCCTGCACCTTGGTGGAGCAGCATTGGCTGGAGACCTGTGAAAAGCTGAGGTCCAGGCTCTGGCCCTCAGAGCCAGCCCCAGCCTTTGACCCCGAGGCCCAAAAGCACCCTGTGAGCAGCCCAGCCTCCCCCCAGACAAGCACCTACAACCCCCACACATGCTTTAAGTCCGCTTCCATTTTATTTCCTTGCATTTTATTCCATTTTGCATAGAATTCTAGCTGTCTCCAGCCAAAATTACATAGCAGACCCATAGTAACATAGGAGGAGAGCAGATGTAGGAATCCTTGTCGGAGAGGTGGCACAGAGCAGCGGGTGGCACACGGGACACACGACTGACATTACAGATCACAGACAAGTACCATGCCGGTGGGAGCAGCAGGTAAGAAACAAGGCTTGGACAACAGCCCCCAGGGCACCTGCACCAACCCTGAGCCCTGGAAGAGTCCCTGCCTCCTCTCCAGCCCCACCAAAAGTCAGCTCAGGTTACAGGCAGAGGCTGTAGGATGGCATTTGCTAAACAGCTGCTGCAGCAAGATTTAAAGCCCATTTCTCCTTTGGTTTGAGTGTAGGAATTCCAACAGCTCCCATGTGATCTCATTACACACAGCACAGGGAAGCAGCTCCCAGCACAGCCCAGGGCTGGAGGGCAGCGTGAGCGATGGGAAGAGGAAACGGTGGCTGTGGCAGTACCTGGTGCTGCTCAGACTCTGAAGCTGGAGGTGTTTTTTCTCATCATCATAAAGCCACATCAGATTAAAGCACAAGGTGGCTTTAAACTTCTTTTTTCCTGATAAGAAGTCACCTAGGCCTAACCCAGCCTCGTGTACCTTGAGTTCCTTGCTGTTCCAGGCTGAGCCCACAGCTGGTGGCAGCAGCTCTCGGTGGAGCACATTAGATCAAACCCCTGGCCTCTGGGTCCCTGTTTCCGCAGCCAGAGCAAAGGAGCCTGGGTTGTGAAAAATAAAACCAGCTTGAAAAATAAAACCAGCTGCTACCCTGCAGGTAGATGTAGCAGATCTTGGTACAAGTGAGCTTAAACAAAATCCACCCAAAGCACAGAGCTCCCCCCAGCCTTGCCTCACTCCCTTTCAGGCTAGGGGACCTCCGCTAGCAACCAGCTTGGACAGTGGATACAAGACTAAAACTCAGTTGTAGTTACGATGTGAAAGTGTTTTTAAGTCTTTCCTCAGCTCACAGCAGCCTGAGAAGGAAAGGAAGCTTACTCAGTGTGTGGGCAGTGGCAGCTGAACCGCCCCCGTCTGCCTGCATTAAGTAACTCCAGTACCACTTCCCCTACAACCCCCCAGTTCCTCCCCACTAAGGGGAAGACACCAGGGCCCCTCAGTGACATAAAGTTAATAATTAACACCTCATCTCCCCTCCCAAAAAGAACAAAAATAAAAATAAATCAAGGACAAGGTGATGAAAAACAGAGGAGCACAAGTCCCTGCGTGAACGAGGCCGAAGCTCAGGTGGATGATTCCCACCTGCGACACAACGCGTGTGCTCCTCCAAGGCAGGGCCGTGCCCACGAGGTGCTGCCTCTCTCCGGGGCCAGCCTTTCCTTCATCTCTAATATTTGTACATTCGATTCACCGGGTGAAGGGTTCTCTCCCAGGGCAGTCAGTGGTTATTTGAGGGACCTGCTCATCAGGATACCGCTGCTGCTACAGCCCTGCTCAGCTGGGACAGCTCCTGCTGCTACAGTTTAGTGTCGCATCTGCTGTTGAAAAGGTGGTTTATGATGCCTGGGTTGGCCAAGGTGGAGATGTCCCCCACGTCTCTGTCATTTTGGGCAATCTTCCTTAATATCCGTCGGGTGATCTTTCCTGTGAGAACAGCCACAAAAGGAGAGCAGGGCTCAGGATCACTTCAGCAGCCCCAGAAGTCAGTGCCCAAACCCACAGCATCCCGTTTGCCCTGGGGTTTCTCCCCGTGGGTTTGAGTATCCTCAGACAAGCAGTTCAGGGACAATTCCCTTCCACTGGCAGGAACTGCTCAGTCCTCCCCAGCACAGCAACTGGACCCCTTACCTGAACGGGTTTTGGGCAGGCTGGGGGCATACTGGATGTAATCCGGCGTTGCTATCGGTCCAATTTTTTCCCGGACTGGGGAGGAGGAGGGGTGAAGGGAGAGAAAAAAAATATTTTAATGGTAGGTGCAAGGAGATCCCACACATTCAGGCAGGATGACCGAGCTCAGACACACAGAGCACAGCCCCCAGGGGAGCCCAGGGCTGCTGCAGCCCAGCCTCAGAGCTGTGGGAAGGGGCAGCAAGACCTGCAGTGCCAGCAGGGTGCAGCACGCCTTCCCAAAGGCAGCAACACTCCTGTTTCCATTCCCTCCGTTTTCAGGAGCCCTCTGTCATGGCCTAGCAATCACTGTTATGCTACTGCATTGCTGCAGAGACAAAACTCCCACGGATGCATTTCATGCAGTCCTTTGTGGCCATGTCAGAGCTGCCTTGGGCACAGAGCACAAACCACGAGAGCCCCACCCTCAGCACGAAGTATTTAACTACAGCAGTGGGGGACAGTGGACTGGATTTGAAAGCTTGCATGAGCCCCGTTACCTCGGCCTGCCCTGCTTTGCACACCCAAAGCAGGAGCACGCTGGCCTGAGGACTGCACAAAGCTGATGCTCGAGCACTGCCTGGCAGTCTCTGCTCTGCCAGCACCTCCTGGCTGCAGGAGACAGCCTCGCAAACGTGCCCTTTTCCCACCCAAAGTAACCAAGCAGCCCCTGTGCGAGTCCCAGCCCACCAGGGAAAGCCACGGGAGCCTTGCCCACCGCTGCAACAGCCCGTTGGCTACCCCAGTCCTCGGCACGGCCGCCAGCTCCCGAGAGGCAGAGATGGCATCACATGAGCTGCCAAAGGCCGGCAGAACTAATTTTAGTCTGTGCCAGCCGTGCTCTCTAATCAGAGGGGGCACCTTGTCACAGTTGTCCGTGCTGCATTCCCCAGGCCACACGCACCCCCCGTAAGCGCCCGAGCCCTTAACCCCTCCGCTGCCTACCCAGCGCTGCTCTCCCCCACCCTGATATTTGGCTGTCCCTACCTTGTTTTTTCAGCTCGTCTGCCAGGTTCTTGCTGAACTCGTGGCCGTCCTTCAGGGTCACGAAACAGTAGAGACATTCCCCTTTCAGGGGGTGCGGGTGGCTGACCACAGCAGCCTCGGAGACAGCGGCGTGCCCGAGCAGGGCCGACTCCACCTCCGCGGTGCTCAGCAGGTGGCCTGGAAGCAGAAAGGCAGCGCTGCACAGAGCTGCGTGGGGCTGGGGGCCTGCAACCTCCAGCAGCTGGCAGGAAGAGCTCTGCCAGCCCAAAAGGCCCTGGAACTGTAGGTTTGAGAGGTCGGGTTCCAGTTCCTTGAGAAAACAGCTGGAGGAACTCCTTTCTGCAGCGCGGTGGTGGGGCTGCCCCAGAAGGCTGCCAGGCATCGCTCCCAGGACAGGCTGCAGAGCAAGGCCCCCTCCCCTCCCTGGCTGTTCTCCCTCCCGTCTTCAGGCTTTTTTCTTTAAGAGTTCTGTGAATTGTCTCCGACCACAGGGTTAAACAAAGCACGGGCTGAGAGGGAGCTGGATTTTGGGGAAGAGCTCTGTCTCTGGGGACACAGCATTGTGCAGTTTGATGCAGCTTTGACGTTAGCCCTACCTGGAGCTGCAGCTTGGATCAGTGACTGCAAGACCCTGCCCTGCCTGGCTGAAATCCCCCGTGGCCCCACATGCTCCAACACAGAAGCACATAAGGCTGGTTGAGGACCTCCTCTGAGATATTACAGAAGGCTCCCTCCCTCCTGGAGGCATTAATCCAGAGTCACCAAGCCTCAGGCTTGTCTGACTTGGGGACAGGTCTCTGGGCAGGCCCACAGACGCAGAGCTGTCCCCCATAAAAGCAAGGTGGCTCTTTAATGAGTGCCACAAAGCACGCTGGCTCCCACTGAAGACAAAAGTTGTCCTTACCAGAAACATTCAACATGTCATCGATTCGCCCTGTGATCCAGTAATAACCATCCTTATCTCTCCTGCAACCTAAAAATAACCAGAAGTGACAGCGTGAGGAAGCAGTGCCAGTCCTCAGAGCAACCGATAAGGGATCCTGAGGCCAGGGCACTGCAAGATTTTAATTGCTGTCCTCGGGCCTCCGCACCCACACGCCGCCCAGGCCACCTTACCGTCGCCTGTCACGTAGTACCCAGGGAACTTCTTGAAGTAGGTGGTTTCAAATTGCTGGTGGTTTCCGTACAGCGTGCGCATTATTCCTGGCCAGGGCTGCTTAAATACCTGCAATGAGAGAATGAGAAATGCAAACCGGAGTCAGCGGGAGCAAAAACAACTCTTAACCGAGCCAGCTCTCGGCCTCTGCTGTGGGTCAGTGTTTCTGAATCTGATTCAAGCATCAGTGGCCAGCAAGTTCAGTGCCCGCACTGCTCCAGGGCTTGTCGAGCTGAACAAAACCCTTCTGCAGCTCCTGGGGACACGGAGGAAACCACCTCACTGAGGAGCTCTTCCAAAGGCCAATGTAGTGCATACTGCTTTCTAGCTCCCCCAGGGATTTTATAAACTATTTATTCTGCAAGGGGAGGGAAAATAACCTGGTCTCTGCAGTGCTGTGCAGCTACAGAGGTGCCACAGAGGCAGCCCTAAGCGATGACACTCAGCTGCTGCCCTGTGCTGATCTATTGGGAAAGTTTCTCCACCCTTGGCATAGGGAAAGGAGCTCAGCTGACAAGTTGTTCCCTTCCTCCTGCCTTGCCCATGTGTGCACGTTTTTCTATAAATCACTGAACAGCTCGTTCACAGAACTGCCAGGGAGTTAGGGCAGTATGAGCAGCTCCTGCCACCCAAAGGGAGCCTCATCTGGGCCCAGGGCAGGCAGAGAGGTGCTCACGGCACCGGGAACGTCCTGGAGGTGATGGGGGACAGACAAGGGGAGGGTGTGGGACATCAGCCCCTCTTTACCAGGTAGCCTTCTGCTTCTCCTTCCAGCTCTTCCCCCGACTCATTCACGATGGCAGGGACCACGCCGAAGAAGGGGAACGTCTGCCATGGGGACAACAGCGAGGAGACAGGGCGGTGAGCCCAGGCACTGTAACGTGCAGAGTAGAGGGAGTGGGGATCCGGGGGACCCTTCCCTCCTGGGAGGAAGGAGAAAAGTACTCACAGCAGAGCCTGGCTTCATGGGGGTGGCAGCAGGGAGAGACGTCAGCATGTGGCCACCCTGTGAAGGGAGGCAAAAAGGAGTGAGTTTAGGTGATGCCGGCCTGTTGGGGAGGATACAGCAGGGGACGGGGAGCCCACATTCGGGCTTAAAGCTTTGGAGATGCTGGAGAAAACAGAGAGAGAGGGAGAGAGAGAGCAGGGCTCAGAGCAGACCTTGGCAGAGACCCTTCTGAGGTCTCCCCATGGACTCTGAGGCCCTGAGAGCAGGGGAACCAACAATTGCAGGCTACACCAGCCACTAGGAGCAAGCTCCTGGGCAAGCCAACCAACTAGTGCCCATGGCACCACGGGAACACTATGGCAAACCTGCCCAGACACCCCGCTGCCTGCCAGGAGCAGCAGGGAAAGAGAAGCCCCCGAGACACCCACCCAGGTGGGGACTCACCGTCTCTGTCTGCCAGAACGTGTCCACGATGGGACACCTCTCTTCTCCCACCACGCGGTAGTACCACAGCCAGGCTTCAGGGTTGATGGGCTCCCCGACGGTCCCCAGCACCTTCAGAGACTTCCTGCTGTGCCTGCAGAGAAGAGGGGGCTCGCAGGGGCTCAGCAGGCCACGGAGGGGAGCAGCTGTGAGCCTGTGGCACTGCAGAGCCTGCAGGAATCCCTGGGCCTCCCAAATGTATCTGGGGTTTCAACAGTTCAGCCCTTTCTCTGCCCTCAACTATGGGGGAAGAGGGGAGACCTCTGTGGTTTTGCTGTCTGCAAGATCCCACTTGGCTCTGCTCCTTCCCTTCCTTGGGCCACCTCCATGAGCTTTGGGTGGGGAGCAGGGAAAAGCCCAAGTCTAAGCTGATCTGCAGCTCGTGGCGAAAGAGAAGAGCCTGCTCTGGAGTGCCATGCTGCAGGGAGTGCTGGGGGCAAAGAAACACAGCCTGCAAGTTGCTGGGTTGAAGGCAAAAGGTCTCGGTTTGTTCAGAAAGCGCAGTGGGGAAGCTGCTGCTGGGAGAGGAAGCTACGCCAGAGCCAGGGGCCCCCGTGTCCGTGGGGACTGACTCACTTTTTAACGGGCTCCTCCCCATGCTTCATCAGCAGCCGGATGGCTGTGGGTGCTGTGTAGAACTTGGTCACCTTGTACTTGTCAACAATGCTCCACATGCGCCCGATGTCCGGGTAGGTGGGGACACCTTCAAACTGAGCGAGAGAGGGCAGTGACACAGCTGATCCTCGCTGCCCCCTCCCAGCAGCCTGAGGCACCCTCAAAAGCAGGAGCCCCTGAGAACGGCTGCAGCCCAGCAGTGTCCTTAGAGGCACGCCAGGAGCACCAGGTGTGAAACCAGTCCAGGACCCCTTGTACTACTTCCTCAGATGGGTTTAGCACCCTCCTGCTGCTGGTGTCCTAGCAATTGTCCCCCAAAGCACCCTACCAGCAAGGGCAGCTGGGGGGCTCTCACAGTGACACAGTCCCACCAGCCCAGATGACTCTGCCTGCATCACATAAAAGGGTGATCGGTCCAGACAGAGTGATGGAACCACAACCAGGAGCACCCAGAACCCCACTAAGAAGGATTCTCCCAGCATGACATTTCCCTGTGTGCATTTCCTCACGGGAGTCTCGGACACAGGCCTCTGGTTCCCGATTTGTACGCTGCCAAAGGAGACACAGGCACAGGAATTAACTGCAGGTTGCCAGATCCACCTCAGGTGTCAATAGCATCACTCCCTAGCTCCTGGTCCAGCTTTCACATCAGTTTGCAGCAAGCCCGGCAGCCCACTACACAAGGCTTGTGTTTCTAAGGGAAAGAAGCACTGGAGCATTTGCAGAACTAAGCACCCAGAGCCTGGCACTCCCCAGCACCACTGGGAAGGCACCCACATCTTCCTTGGGGACTGCCACCTCTCTGCACAGAGCCCTGTGACGTGGCAGACAGCACGATGGGGCTTTGGACGAGGGAGAACAGCACGTCCTGGGGTGTTATCACAGAGCAAGGCAGGGACACGGCTCAGCACCACCACCTCCAACCCTCCGCAGTCAGGCACCCAGTGGCTGCCCACTTACGAGCACGCTGGTGGCCCCGTTGGCCAGGGGTCCGTAGGTGAGGTAGGAATGGCCCGTTATCCACCCGATGTCAGCCGTGCACCAGTACACATCCTCAGGCTGGTAATCGAAGACGTACTTGAAGGAGGTGGCAGCATAAAGCATGTACCCGCCCACGGTGTGCAGCACGCCCTGCGGGGAGAGGGCACAGCACTGTCAGCGAGCTCCAGGGCCCTCGTCCTCCTGGGGCGAGCACCACAGCCAGCACAGCCCCTCCGCAGCTCCTCTTCCCCCTGAGGCGTTGCTGTCACTCAGCAGGACAGGCGAGCCGTACCTTGGGTTTCCCCGTGGAGCCGCTGGTGTAGAGAATGAAGAGTTTGTCCTCCGCGTCACACCACTCGGGCTCGCACTCCGTGCTGGCACCGTTCATCAGCTCATGCCACCACATGTCCGTGCCTGGGTTCCAGGGGGTCTGAGGAAAGCACAAGATTAGGAACAGCCCCTGCCCAAAAAGCAGGGAGGGGACAAGGGGGCTGCGGCCCCGACCTCATCACCCCTCTTGGCCCTCAGTACTCACAGCACGGCCACTGCCCAGAGCTGCTCGCTGCAAACCGTGCACCAGAGCTGCAACTCCCACTCCAGCAGCTCCTTTCTCAGCCTGCAGCCAGCAAGGAAAACCTTTACACGGCGTCTGGCTGCGAGCCTTGAAGCAGGTTTTCCAAACCATTGGCAAGACAAACAAACCCCTCTCAGGAGCAGCCAGGAGAGGTGCTGCAGCCCCAGCTGCTCTGTGCTTTTAGGGCACAGAGCCTCTCCTGCCCCTGAGCTGCAGTCAGGCAGCAAAGCAGCGAGCCCCAGCACACCACACGCCCCAAGACCAACAGAAACACACCAGGCTCATGCTGTTTGGCCCTGCAGCCCAGAAAACCTGTTACATCCCGGTTTTAAGTTAATTCCCATGGTGAGAGGTGGCTGCTCTGACACTGAAACACCCAGCAGCAGCTGCCCTAAGGTGCCAGAGCTGCAGTGGGGCTGCCAGCACCCATGGGTGACGGGCAGAGGTCACCCTGAGAGCCCTGCTGGCTGGCTCCATCCCCGGGATGGCACGGTGCAGTGCAAGACCCAAGTCCACCCGACCTTCTCTCCTTTCCCTGGAGGAGCCTGGGGACAGCAGGGGCAGTGCTCCTCACCCTGAGGGCAGGTCTCTGCTTCGCACATCTCCACGAGGCCAGGCACACTGACCCCGAGCCTCACAGCACCAGGAGGCCAGCTCCCAGCTGGGACATCTCCGGGAAGAGCAAGGGGGTGCATGGTGTGGGACAGCCCATACACAGCCCCCAGGCTGCCCCCCGAGCAGATGGGGCCGGAGGCTGCCTTCGGTCCGAGAGGCAGAAAGGCGAACAGGAGGATGTCAGCCCAGTAAAGCAGGGTGGAAACGTGGGTAAAAGGAACTTCTGGCTCCGGGGCATGCTGTGGCTGAGCAGGCACGGTGGCCTGCTTGTGGCACTTGCCAAGTCAGGTGGATTTCTGGGTGTGAGGTCCCCAGCAGGGAGCTGAATCCCAGCAGCTCCGAGCTGCACCAAGCGGTCCGAGGGCAGCAAGTGCCAGTGCTGCAAGTCTCGCAGCCTGAAATCCCCTCAGCTGGAGCATCTCTGTGCAGAGAGCAGCCACGGGGTGGCACAGTGACTCTCCGCATCCCCAGCGCTGTGTGCACGCCGTTTGGAGGCGCTGGGCAGCAGCGCTCAGCCTGCGGCTCCTGCGCATGGTGCAGCAACACCGGCTGCTGCGGCCCTGCACTGACAGCACCGCAGGGCTGAGGCCTTTTGGAAAGCTCTCGCGGATCCCCAGGGCACCTGTTTGGGTTTTCTTTACCTGGGAGAGACGTTTCCACACCTCTGGCACATCAGCAAGCTCCCAGCAAGGCGCCACGGCAAACACACCCAAGCTCAGCTCACGCCAGCCCAGCAGCCTTCTGACACCCTTCCCTCAAGGTCCCCTCAGCACCAAATTTCCACCGCCCCACGTAGTGGGGCCGAGCTGCAGCACAGCACAGGGCCCCTGGAACCAGCCCTGCCCGATAGCTCCTAAATCAGGGGAGCCAAGAGGACGTGCTGCCTCCCTCCGACCCCGCGAAGCTGTCAGGGTAAGAAGAAGACCCAGAGCCGAGGGACGGAGCAGAGCTGAAGGTGCCTGCAGGCAGAGCTGCCCCACACGTGTGAGCTGGGCAAACTGGGCTGCCCTGATCCTAGGTTTTAGGTAGCTAGAGCTCCATGGAGCCAGGCCAGGAGCCGGAACCCAAGCGGGATGCCTCCTGAGAGAAGTCAGCAAGGCCCTGGGGCAGCTCATGCTGGGGGCCCCAGCAGGACTGGGGAACACCTGAGCCTCCGACAGCACATGGTGATGCTGAGCAATAGGAGCCCATCCCAGCTCTCCAAGTGCTCCAGCACAGCACCCGCGCTGCCTGGCCCGTGTGTGCTTCATGTGGGGCCCTGAGGCTGCAGCTCCTCGGCTGGAACAAGCAGAGCCCAGGCCAGGGCTGGGGAGCTGCACACGACTCCTGCCAGCCTTGGGACGAGGGGAAGCACGTTGCGAGGACTGCTCCTAGAGGAGAAGGGGTGAAACGTGGTCCTAGCACCAGCAGCAAACCCGAGGGGTTCTGAATCCACCTTGCCAGCACGGTCACACACGTTCAGGTGGCTTCACAGAAGCAGATTTGTTTCTGGCAGCAAGGTTGGTGCCGCAGACCCCAGGCTGTGCCGCACACACACACACACCTCCTCGCCCTCTGCTTCTCCTTCCAGAGGCCGTCACAGCCCCAGCAGCGCCCTGGCCACCCTCATCCATCGCTCCCCGTGCCGCTGGGCAGAGGGAGGCAGCGCCCGGTGACCACAGCCAAGCAGCGAGCGGTGTCTGACAGCTAACATGCACCCGCGGGCAGCCCGGTTAGGGGGGCACGTGCGGCCACGCGGAGCGGTTAGAAAGGTGGAGGGCTGGAGAGGGGAGGTGCCGAGGGGAGAAAGGCAGTGCTGTGCGTAAATACCTTGGGATGGAGTCTCTGTGGGCTCTCAGCCTTTTTTTCCTGTTAAAAATCCACAAAGAGGGAGTGAAAGATGAGAAGCGGAGGATCCGGACCAGGCTTTGCAGGCAAGGAGCTAGGAAGTCGGCCTGGCAGGCTGCAGAGGGCACCGCCCCAGTGCCCGGGCCAGGAGAAGCTCTCTAAGCAGCAGCCCTGCCACTTCCATCACCTTCCCCAGGTACCCACCACCTCCAGGCAGGGCACAACAGCACGGGGCAGGCACACAGCCCCCCGACACCATCACACAGGCAATGGAACAGTAAAGGTGCACTCAGGGGGAGGGTGATCCTTAATGAAATGTCTGAACAAGGACAGCAAGACCCAGGGGCTGACAGCAGGCAGCCCTGCTCCTGCCTGCGCCCAGGAGGCTGCTCGGTAGCCTCACAGCACCAAAAGCAGCAGCACGGGGCTGGCTGCACTGCAGCTTCCCAGCTGGGGAAACAACAAATGCTGGCCTGCTCCTGTCTTCCCACCCCTCTGCAGCTCCCCTTTCGAGCAAGAGAAGGGGCAACGCAGGCCAGCGTAACATGGCCGGGCTGGCAAACAGTGAGCAAAACCCCCAAAAGTTAACACAGCTGAACAAGCAAAGTTAACTGAAAGACACCTCATCTGCTGGGCTCCTGCCAGGGTGTGCAGGGACCTTCCCTTTGGAAGCAGAGCCCAAAGCTCAAACACGTCCCCCAAACACAGCCCACCCCTGGGCAAGCACCAGCCTGCATGGGCCACATCCAAACACCTAGGGGTAACTTGATGCGCTGCTGTGAATTAATTACCAAACATTTAGGGGCAGAAGACAATGCCCCATGGCACGGAGCACACTGTTAGTGCTGGGAGGTGCTGGGAGGCTGAAGGCAGCACCCGGCTGCCAGGTGCAGCAGGGCTGAGCCCAGCCCCAGGAGCTCAGCAGGATGCCACGGCTCCTGACACCTTCTCCTCCTTCCAGCCCCCTCTCGCCACATGTCTCTGGCCCGCATCCTTCCATCTGGGTTCAGTTGTGAGGGAAAGCCCCAGCCCCAACAGCTGACACAGTTCCTGTGCCAGCCACACAGCGACTGCGTTATTCCCAGCTTACGATTGTTATCTTGGGGCTGGGCTCAGGCCCCAAAAACAAATCTCTCTGCTGTTTCTGCCATCACAGCTACAGTGCAGGAAATCTTTGCTCCTTGCACAAAAGGGGAGATTGGTACAGGATTAAAATGAGGGAGTCCTTCACTGGACAGAGGAAAACACCATCTTGTCCTCATCCTAGCAGCATCCAGCCTGGGGAAGCTGCGCCCTGCTGTGCTTCCAGGGATCCCGCAGGCTGGCAGCCAGGGACGGTGTTAAAGAAAGCTGCAGGGAATGGATCTCGGGAAGACAAAGGAACCCTTCGTCATACTGCTCCCAAAGCAACAACAGCAAGCAGGGAGAACGCAGGAACAGAGTCAGGAAACGGGAGCATCCAGGGGAGCTCTCCAGTGGTTTCACACAGTGATCTGCTGGGCTCTGACTTCCAGAACACAAGAAGCCCCCGTTCCCAGCCCCCAGGAGCATACCTGTACGTCCTGGCACAGCCTTTTGAGAGGGGGAGACTTGCTGCACGTCCCATCTGCTGCGATCTCCTCCCTGCCCATGTGCTTCACCACAATGACTTTTTTCAACGGGGAGCCCCTGTCAAGGGAAAGGAGCCATCAGCTCAGGCTGCTCAAGCTAAACCTGCCCCCCGGGGGTTTTATGGGCTGCAATGAAGGCAGAGCAGAGGCCCTGAGCTGTGTTTCTTAAGCCATGGCATAAACTGCCCGTGTGCCCACGCTGTTAGCTCACCACAAAGGGCTGCTCTGCAGCCTGGCATTGCCCTGGCTGTGAGGAGACCCTCCCCAGGCTCCTGATCACCTCCCCTCCTCTATGCTGCGAGCAGTGCCATGCAACCTTCAGGCCTCCTGTGAATTGCTGCAGGAGGTGAGCCACAGCAAAAGCAGAGCTCGGAGGATAGGAAAGGGCTGTGCAGAGCTTACCAAGGAGCTATCAGGTAAACCACACGCACGCCACTCCTGCCTGCAGGGGAAGGAGCGACTCCACAAGCATCTCTCAGTTCACTGCTGGGGAAGTGCCTTACAAATCCCAAGTTCGCCTGTCTGTGAATCTGAACAAGGCCTCCCACAGCACCCAGGGGATGGTAGGTGGCTGCTCCCAGCCCTAAGCGTGATCCAGTGGCCAGCTTGGAAGGGGAAACGCTTCCAGTGCCAGGTTATACATCAAGGAAAAGAACAGGGCTTTAGATTCTCTGCTAGCCCCCATCAGAAGACAACTCCTTTCAGTCCTGTCAGGGTACCAACACATCTCCATCAGTTAATTCCTTCAGCTTCAATTCCTAACTTCAGGGTCACTTCTGCTCTACCACGCAACTGCTTCTACAAACAAACGTTAAGAGTTGAAAATGATTTTAAGCCTGAATTTTTAACGTTCAGGCTATCTACCCCAAATCTACATGTTTGATCTCATTTACAAAACTACATTTAGTCTCATACAAGCTACACATTTTTCTTTCATCATCTCAGGGATTCATGTTGGAGCAGAGGTTCAGTAATAGCTGGTATCTGTCAAGAGCTGGATGCAGATCTGAAACAAAGCTGAAAACATCCACCCCAAAGCCTTCCTTGTACCTCTGCTGACAAGAACCCTGTGTTCATCCCCCATCCTGGCCTGTAATGCACTGAGTACCTATTAGGGAGACTTCCAACTCCAAACAACATGTAACCAAACTCATTTCTTGGGAAGGTGAATGCAAAAGCACAGATTATGCTTCTGAACGTCAACAACATTTTTCTACAGATTTGTTGCTTTTATTCTACCTTAGCACGCCAGGAATACCTTGCCTGCTAAACAAAAGGTTACAAAAAAGTCATTATCAACACCTTCTCTTGTCAATGAAGGGAGAGCAATCAGAAGAGGAAGTTCTGATGTGGAAGTGTAAGGATCTAGGTGTGGTCTCCAGTGTGACAGTGACTGCATCTGTAAGCCTGGCAAAGTCATTTCACCACTTTTCTTTCCCTTTCTGTAAAAGGTGACGATGTCTGCCTGCCTGTGACGTACCAGTATTTCAGCAAAGACCTTTTCTAAAATGGAGCAGCTTACCCACGTACCTGTGCACAGCCAGGCGCTGATCCTGTGCACAGGTTGGTGCATGCCAATTAAAGTGCTGCTTCCTGTCACACAGCCGTTTCCCAAAGTTGAAATAGTTCTGTTTTATTTCATTATTGTTGAACAAGGGGTTTTTAGGCAAGATTTAAGCCCCGTCTCAGCCTGCACCACAGCATTGTGTCAGAGCAGGCACGCTGTGTACAGAGGTGTGTTATTCCCTCCCGCTCTACAAGCTGCTGCTACAGCACTGGGAGATCTGCCCCGGGTTGCAGTGATTTGGGATTATACAGTACATCTCCAGCAAATCCTCCCACCCAACACGTGGGCCTCCAGGTCAGAATGGAGGAGAGCAAAGTTTAAAGATAATATTCTTAAGACAAGGTAGGTGAATTGCGTGTTCCTTTTGAAAGGCTCATTGCAGTTTGTGTCAGACCCGCTCCAGTCTGCCAAACTGCAAGTTTCTGTTCCCATTTGTGTGTGAGCAGATTCCAATAAATGCCCTTCTCACAAAGGAACCTGAACTTACTTGTCTTTACATTTCTGGAGGGCTTCATCTGCAATCTGCTTCAAGTTGACCAGCTTGTCTCCTCGATAAAAGGCATCTGTGAAACAGTAAGGAAAACTTGAGAGAGGCTCCTCAGCCAAGGCAGCCTGGGACAGCTAAAAACAGGCAGCCTCATGAGGGCAGAGCAGAACTCATGCACCAGAGGGAGGGAAAGACGACAAGCGGCTGATGGGAAAGCTTTCCTAATAAACCCTTTTGGTCTAGAGAAAAGGATGCCAAGAGAAATGGTGAAATTCCTTCCCTGGGAGAGGTTCAGATTTGACCCAACAAAGCTCTTGGGGATATCCTGGGGGAATAATCCAATGTGGCAAGAGCACAGATTGTAAAGTTTAGTGGGTCCTTTCCATGCTATTAATAGTAACAGCACTGTCTCAGAAAACAGCTGTGGAAGACGCAGTGGGCTTACACACAAGCACCACCACTCTCCGTATTCTTTGCTTTACAGGGTTGGGAGTTGAGACAGGAATTTCCTTGAAACTGGGAAGGGAGGGAATCCTCATATTTGGATTGCCCCATAAATGATACATCTTGCAAACATCTGGCTTATTTTGGAGAGAAACATGGATGAGAAGCATTTGGAAACATGTTATTATCAGCTGGTGACATCATGCTGTACAGGACAAAGTGGGCGGGCTGCTTAGATGCTCCGCTGTACGTTCAAAGTGGAAAACTGTGCTCAAGCACAGCTACAAGCAGCGCATCCGCCTCGCAGCAGCTCAGCTGAAGCACTGCCTCCTTCTCTCCCAGTTCCAAGCACATCTGGCTTCTAAAACACAGACCTTTCAGCCAGCCAACAGAAACAGCTCAGGGTCAGGGGCACTGAGGCGCGCTTTACCTGCCGTAATGAGGAGAGAACAACCGCAGTCAAGAATCCGCTCACAAAGAGAGTTCGCTGAGAAACCTGCAAACTGACAGATCACACGACCGGGTTAACAAGGTTAACAACAGGGATGGCCACAGCTGTGCTGCTCCCCCACCACAAACACCAGCCCCCAGCATCGATGGAGAGCACAAGAGGACATGCCATGGTGCAGAAGACGGCTAGGAAACAGAGCGTTAGTTTTGTTTCCACCCATCTTCTGGTCAGCGCCTATCTTTTCAGCCCTTCCAGCTTCTCTCCTCACCCTCCTAAAAGGAGGGTGAGGAGCTGCTCCCCCAAAAAGCTGTTTCCCCCGCCAGGGCTTGCTCCTACCACAACGGAGTGAAGAGCCCCGATCCTGGCACAGGCGAGCATGGCTATCACCAGCTCCAGGATCATCGGCAGGTAGATGGAAATTCTGTCTCCTTTCTTCACACCTGTGGAGGGAAAACGGACACGTCATAAATCCAAATGAGCACCTTACTACAAAGAAGGATCTATACAAGGAAGTCAATGTTTATATGCACACAATAAAGCTTCATCTGGAGCTAGAGCTGAGCCAGCCTTGCGTGGAACACCTCAGCTCTCCAGGCCAAAGCAAGCGTCCACAGGCATGAGCTTCCACTGCCATTTCCCAGCAATGCCCACCCAGCTGTGGCAGACACTTGAAATGAGGAACTTTATGCCAGTGGTGACCAGAAAGAGAGCTCCAGCCTGTCCAGGAACATCAGGCACGTGCATTTTGCCTTTCAAGCCCCACAGATCTTGTGAGGTGACTGCAGTGAATGCTCCACGTTCTGATCAGATGGGTTCAGTCCCTTGAAGGAGGCAGAAACGCAACCAGTGCCCACTGCTAGCTGGAAAAGCCCAAGAGCTTTGAGCACAGGTTCTTTCCTAGTCCTGCTGACAGGAGCAGCACTGATGAGCTTTCACATACAGAACTGCAGATGAACGTGCAAAAATACTTTGCAGAGCAAACCTGCATGTACCCTCCTCTACAGCTGTGGAAACCAATGGAGAAACGAAGCACTTTGCACAGAATTACTCAACAGACCAGCAACCACGCAGAGAACAGAGCCAGTCCCAAAAACCAGCCTGCTGCTTTCCCAGTACTCAGCGCTCCTGTTGCTCCAGCCGCCTACCTTGGTCGCGGAGGACATTGGCAAACTGACAGACTTTGTGCAGCAGCTCACTGTAGGTGATTTTCATGGAATCCCCAGGCTCATTCCCTTCCCTGGAAAAAGGACACAAGGTGCATTTGTTACTGCACAGGCACTACAACGTAACAGTGACCCTGCAGACTCAGGGTGCTTACCCTTCTGGGCAACCCCGATGCCCTCACCCGCCCTTCCGAGCACAGAGTAACCAAACCCCAGAAATCCAATTCTGGACTGAAGTTCTCCAATAGCGGGACAATTTAGTCCAAAGTTCCCATCCCCACGTAAATGACTACACCTTAACACAATCAAACACCCACAGTGCAAACACGTGGTGCTTTCAGAGAGCACCCAGAGGAAGAAGGGGCTAAGAGAACCAAAGCCAGGAGTGCGCAGGCTCAGTAGGAAGCTGGGATCTGTGGTGTGGCACCCCGCTCACACACACTTGTGCCTGCAGACTTGTCTGCATGAGACATTGGCCAGTGTTGCCCTGCAGCAGCAGCCAGCCCCTGCATACCTCCTGCCTGATGAGCAGGGAGGGGATGCCAAGGGCTGTCTTATATTCCAAGGTCATGTATTTATACACACGTGTATTTGTTAAGTGCCAGGCCTGCTCTGCATTATTTTCTCTCTGTGGTCCTCGCTGAATGGTTGGACTTGATGATCTTATGGGCCTTTTCCTAGCTCAGCCTGTGATTCCCCGAACCAGCCCCGGGCTCCTGTCACCGCGGTGCCAGCGGGACCTTGGCACTAGGCACCCCAGGGAGAAGGGCCAAGAGCTGCACCCAGAGAGAGAACAAATGTCACGTCCCCGGGGAAATGTTCTGTTACCAAAATAAAAAAAACACCTTGGTTTAACACAACACAAGGCTTCAGCCACTGCAGAGAAGGAAACGAGGTGGCACCCCGAGAGATCAGGAGATTAGCAACGAAAAGTTGACTTCCCACACAGCAGGGCAGCGATCTCCCACAGCCAGGGAAGGAGGGAGACACTTCCCCCGGCCTCTCCCCAGGCAGCCAGCACACCGACATGAGTGACCCCTAAAAGAATAGCTGTGGCTCCCAGCTATTCCCCTTGAGAAGTGTCCCCTGGGCTACGTGCAGGGGACTGAAAGACAACACCAGCGCTGGGGAGCGGCCAGGGCGCACCTCCACGCGGCTCCGTCCGCAGGACCGCGGCCAGGCCCCCTCTAACTCGGGAGCACAAACCTCACCCCCCCAGCATCCCAAACAGCCCCGAGGGCACAGGCACGCACCAAGGCGAGGGGGAGGAGAGCTGTTCTGGCACAGACACGGGGAAGGGAAATGCTCGCGTTTCTCCTGTAATTCCCCAGGAGTGGCTGCTCTGCGTCAGCACGGAGCCGCGTGCTCTGCTGGGGAGCCCCACAGGCACAAGTCCCGCACCTCTGCCCCGTGCAGGGCATTTCAGGCCTGGGGACTACCCGTGCACAATCCCCTTCAAGACCTGCTCAGGGATCTGCTGCCTACAAACTCAGCTTGTCCTGGGTGTTCCTGGGGCTTGCGCAGGGCTCCAGCACTCAGCTCCACTGATACCCGCGCTGATGTGCGGCTCCTCTGACCGGCCGCTCCTGAAAGGGGATTCCCAGCTGGGTCCTTTAGGCAAGTTTGGCCCTTTGTAAGTACAAGAAGGAAAGAAACATGAATACCAAGAGTCATGAGAACAAGCAGCAGTGTTTGGGGCAGTGTTTGTCTCAGGCACGGCCAGCTCAGCCCTGGCCCGAGCAGCTTCCTCCCCTTCCTCTCCCACAACCAAAATCATCGCTCCACGACAGCTCAGCTGCGTGACACGGGGCCGTTCAGCGGGCTGGGCTCCCTCACAGCGGGGCTCCCGGCTGAGAGAGAAACCAGGAAATGACAGGTTTCCTTTCGGATTTTATTACTCGAGGGTCAAAGAGCTGAGAGCTGCTTTCAGAGCTGGGCCAAGCAGCTGCAACTGAGCCGAGCCAAGGGAAGAGCATCTCCTCCTGTCCCTTCCCCTCCCTGCGCACAAGGCTCTGGTGCTGGGCTGAGCACCGTGCTGGCCAGCTCGTGCCAGGCACAGGAGCACTGCACACGCAGCTCTGCCCCTCGGGGACGAGCCCTGCTCTGAAGAGAGCAGCTTGGGAAGGGGCAGGAAGGCGCTGCTCTGGGTACAGAGCCCGGGAGGATCAGGGCCAGGCCCGGCAAGGTTTGGCTCCCCACCTCGAGCACTCGCTGGCCACGTTTCTCCCGGGGGTTGCGACAGAGCCTGCCCTGCCCTGCCCTCACACCAGGCCTCCCGGGCACCCATTTGCTCCGTGGGATGAGCTGATGGTGGGATGGGGATGGGGCCAATGGGGACGGCACAGCCCAGGCCACTGCGGGGCACGGCTGCTGGGGTGAGCGGCACCCGGCACCTCCACGCTGCCTTCCCGGCAGCTTTTCAGAGTCCTCCCCGCGCTTCGTCCTCGTGACAGCAGAACAGCTCCACCAGCACGAGGAGGGGGAAGCCTCAGGCTTTGGGATGATGTGTTCAGATTAGGGCAACCCTCCCCTTATGGGGAGCCACGGCTGTGCTTCTGCAGGGGACACACGCTGCCAGCGCGCCTCCCGGGGACCTCGCCGAGCTCTCAGGAGCAAGCGATTGTTTCGAGCCTCCCCATGTCTGAAAATAGCTCGCAGTGCCCACAGCTACACTCAACGGGCTGCAAGAGCACTCCGGGATTGTTCTGCCCTCTTCTCTGGCACAAAAGCCACCACAATTAAGCATTTTGGACGGGGCACTTCAAGGAGTGCCCACTCGCACACTACGAGGTGCTGCGTGCGTCAGAAGGGAGCTTCTGGGCTCCTGGAAGCAAAGCTCGGTGAGCATCTTTCCTCTGGTGCCCAGCAGGTAAAAGCAAAAACCCATCAGTCCCGAGCATCCCACACAGGCTCGCTTGTCCAAAATTAACTGAAAGATAAACAGCACTCAAACAGCACGCAAACATGTCCGGAGTGCTTGCCTCTGAGCAGCACAAGTCCCCAGGTTCCTCTTTAAGCACTGCTGCTGAAAGATGACAGAGGCACTGCCCGTGTGTGATCTGGGAGCTGCCAGCCAGCCTGCCTCTGAGAACAGAGCAATTTGCAACCCCCAGACACACCGCGGGGTGAAACACCCGGCAAAACCCAGTCTAAACCAAAAAGGTTTCTTGTCTCCCGCAAACCAAACCCTGCACCTAAGGGATCCCAGTGCCCCAAGGTCTCCTGGACCACAGCAGGGACGCAGCTGGGCTCCCAGCACTGCAGGAGCCCCCGTTTTACACAGCCCGTACCACACGGGTGCTCAGCAGGGCTGGGGGCAGATCCATGCCTGGCATCTGCAGCACAGCAGGTTAAGGAGCACCAGGACTGGGTGCAGGATTTTTTCCAGCACCGCTCTGCCCTAACCACACGGATCCAGCTGGGCTGGGGACTTCTTGGCCTGCTACAGCTCCACGGCCAAGGGAGCACCCGAGCGGGTCGAAGGGAGCTGAGCCAACGCTCTTTGGTTTCTCTTTCATCAGATTTCTAAGTAACAATTATTTGCATAACCTGTTTGAATGCAGCCCCCTTGTGCAACGCTGACACAGCATTTGTGTGGAACAGCAGGAAGCGCAGGTTGCATCAGTGGAAATTATGGTTTTCGAGGTAATTGCTGATGATAATTGCGGTTTGCAGGGGTTATAACACCACCAAGAGAAGCTGGCGCACAGGAGAAAGCGATGGAAGCTGAGCAACTGAAGAGTTAGGCGTCCTCAAGATCTGCCAGAACACCTGCAGATCCACAGGGTGTCAGTCCAAACTAGAAAGAGGAAGGAGAAAAAATAAACTAAAATCATACAAACCACTGCAACCAGAGCGGGGCACAACGCCAGAGCCTACCCGGCCCCTGCAAACACTCCCCCTGAGGACCAAAGGGGCTGAAGATCATTTTGTCCCTCCCTTAAGCTTCTGTGACCATGTTGTTCTCAAATATGAGCACGGTTCCGAGCCCACAAGCAGAGGGGTCCCAAATCACCGGGACTGCCAGTCCCTGAGGACAGCGGGGTTTGGGGCATGGCCTGGCTCCAGGTGCAACCCAGCAAGGAGGTGGCAGCAGCAAGGAGGAGTCCCAAGGAGGCAGGTGGAGCTCCTCTCACCTCCCCTTAAGGGCTGCTGACAAAGGGGGAGAACCAGGAGGGGGTGGGTGATGCAGAGGAAGTGCTCTGGGGATGCTCCTGCAGCAACCAGTGCCTTGGGGACCCCACAGGTGCTTCCAGAGCAAAGCAAACCACCTCCAGGCCAGCAGGGGTCATTCCGCAGGCAGCAGAGGGGTTGCAGCAGCTCCCGGAGCAGTTCTGCTTAGTGCAGGGGAGAGGCTCTGCATCTCGGCTAGCGGAGAGCACCCTCCAGGAAACGGGTTCCAGCTTGGAAGAGGTGGTGGGAGAGCAGAGGACCCTTCCTAGCAATGCAGTGTGATGGGAGAACTCCCTCAGAGACCTGCAGAAAGCTTCCTGCAGAGCGGACACAGGCAGAGGGTGAAGGTCACTCCAAACCAGAGCACGGTCAGAGCCCAAAACCCCTCCTGAGCGAGGGACCAAGCTGGTGCACGAGGGGACGCAGCCTCCCAGCTCCTCCCCGGCCGGCAGCCCGGCCCCAGAGCAGGGATAGCAGCAGGCCGGAGCTCTCCCTGCACCACCTCACGTGCGAGGGGGCAGCCAGCCAGCCCTCGGCTCCCCCAGCTCCAGAATTAGAGCTGCCGAAATGCCAGGCACAGCCCGGCCGGGCAGAGCCACCGCCGTCTGGGGAGCGTCTGGGCTCACGTGCACGCCGCGTGGGCAGCCGGGGCTCTGGGACCTTGGAGCTGACGCTGACACGTGCGGGCTGCGTGCGGCCAGCGGGGCTCTCACCTGCTCGCTGCCTCCCCCGTGCCATCTGGCCCGGGAAGCAGTGTCCTGCAGGAGGATCTGGATGGCCTGGAGGCTTGGGAGAGCCACCGAGGCTGAAGGAGAGGCTGTTTCTCACCCCGCACCCAGCCTCTCTCATCCCACGTGGTGCTGGAGGAGCAGAACCCGTTCAAGTCTCACTGCTTGCAAGA